AACAAATTAGTTGTTTATTTTAAGAGATCTATCTTATTTTCTCTTGTATATATAGTATTGCTCTTTAATAAAGAAAAATTACTTCTTACCCGATTACTCGATTAATCAATGGAATAATCGGTAGAATACTCGATTACTAAAATAATATATATAATCATATACTGTGCATATACAGTATTAGCCAATTTCAGTATATTTTCAGTCCAGTGAGGTCTCTGTTGATTTAGCAAAATAAAACTTACAAATCCATGCTTGGTCTTAATGTACATCAACTGACATACAGTACAGATGCTCTTTTGCTTTATTCAAAAATACATAATGCCGTTAAACAAATCCAGGTATTTTGTCACTGGCAAAATTTTATATGAATATTATCTCTATGCATATTGACTTCAGTTGTCCACCCCACATGCACATCCAAATGCCCACCGCAGGACGGCATCCCTAAATGCTACTGAGTGCCATGAAAGGAGCTTTGTTGTTAGTAGTATGCTGTAGTGTAGTGATAATTGTTTAATTCAATCAGCTCCCACTGCAAGGCAGAACAAAGCTGAGCTTCATACATCACACCCTTTCACTTTTTTACTTCTGAACTGTCTGAATTGTACGACTAAAAGTGGAGTAAATAATTAGAACAATCTCTTTTCTAATTTAACTGTTTCCTGCTCTGCAGAAAAACAGATTGACTGGACCATACATTCATAATTTTATAATTACAGATTATAAGACAGAAGATCAGATATTAGAAGACCAAGAATCTGTTTTAAATTATGAATCTGTTTTCTACACAGACCTCAACGACCAGACAAGCCCTTGGCACAAATCCCTATGGCCAGCTATAAGGCCAAACCCCATCATGTCAGAAATCAATGAATATTCCAAAGTATAACAGGTTGGTGGCAATCATCATTTATAAATCCAAAACATCTAAAATACAATTTACCCCAATACAAAGGGAATCTTTATTGTTTGAACAGCAACTGGACTTATCCAAATGGACTGGACACTTAACCAAGAATGACTCCACTAAAATGCTTTATAGTACTATTCTGTCTGAGTGGTCTGTTTAATTGTTATTTTTATTATTTTTAAATCATTTATATGTATGAGTGTTTTGTTTCTCAATGCATTTGTCTACTGCAGTGGTTTGGAATGCCAGTCTGTGGATTCTTTCTGGCTAAAGGCTTGGGTATACTTCATTTTCTTTGCTCTACTCCATTTTGTGCACAGTTGACCATACAAGCCTTTCAAAGTATATTATATGGACTGCATGCACAGATGAATGTATTCAGTGTATGTACACTGCCTAGTGAACCTTTGTTTTTTGAGTACATAAATCACTCATACATGCGCTGTCCACGTGGACACAAAAATTGGGATGCAAGTATAAAAGTTATGCCGGCAAGGGAAGTATTCTTTTGGCTTTAGTGGGCAGGTCTTGGCCAGAATAAACAGTCAGAAGTCCGGTAAGTTTGATTCTCAAGGAATGCATGAGCTCATAAAATGTATAGTTGCTTTGGTTAAAATGTCTGCTAATGGGTAAATGTTAATAAACAAAAGTCCCCTTTCAGGGGCTCCCACTTTGTGCAATGGAAACAGCTTGCTATCCTCCTTGCCTGTAACCCATCTCTCTCTCTCTCCTTCTTTCTCACACTGTTTACATTGTTTTAGTGAACATAAACACCAGCTAAGAAACACACAAAAGTGCATACCAGTTCAAAACAACACACTGTCTTCAAATTCTATTGGACAATCTATAGTTTAGGAGTGTAACAGTAAGTTTTGGTCCTCAAATTTGATCGGCCAAGCAGTGTTCCAAGAGTTCTGGAATAGAATAGAATAGCACACTGAGACATTTCAATATTTGTAGCTATGTCAGTGTTCAAAGCATTCCAAACTATGCATGCAGTGCTGAATGGAAGCAAATTTATGTTGTTATATCCATGATCGCTCAGAGAGGGGGAGGGGGAATATCTGTCGCTCTGCTCCACTCATATATGCTATTCTAGACTGGCTTTCTGTGTTTTGAATGGTGAAAAGAAGAAATAAAGGCAGAGAAGAAATAAATGCCTGCAAAAATAAAAAATGAAAAATAAATAAAATCAGTTGTACTACTCCATATGCTGTCTGCTGCACCCAAACTCTCAACATAGGCATAAACAAATAAACAATATTTGATGGAAGGTCATAGAAGTTTGAAGGTCAAACTTGTAGCTACAAAAAATGCAACATCGATCATGGATCATTCAAATGTAAATCAGCTGTTGTAAAAATAAAGAAACTAAAAACTAAAATGAGTTGTCAGTTAAAACTCCTATAATAAAACATGATTTACATGTTACATATGGAATTCATTTAGGGAGCTTTCACAATGGGCATGTTTGCTGAACTCTGAATCCAAGCTTGTTCCCAGCGCCACCGCTGCATTGTTCTGATTTCAGACTCAATTCTATCCAACCCTGGTGCATTTGCATTCATCTTGTATCATCAGAAACATGCACAGTGCATATGATAGAACATGTCATATATATATATGGGCCATTCTATAGAATTGGTCCAAAGTCAGAGCTGGAAACATCTTGAAAAAAAAAATTATTTTTCCAAAAAATTAGTATGCATGCAAATTGTATAAGATCCAAGGTACACATAATTGTGCAGTTAATTCTCATATTGTATTTTTTAGAACGTTTTGGAATATTTGTCCGAAAGTAGTGTACAACAGTGAGCGCAAGCTAGATTAAAGTGATTATTAAGTTTTGAATATGGATATTTGTCTTACAAAAATGCATCGATACGCTACAGAAGGCCTTTGTTCACCCCCCGGAGCCATGTGAGACACTTTTTTTTATGGATGGGCGAATTTTATTTAACTGCTTTTGGACTGATGCATGCAACACCCGCAGAGTGGCATTAAACAGCTTGAAACATCAAAGACAATTTTTAATATAACTCCGATTGGATTCGTCAATATACAATATACACCTAGGATGACTTGAGGGTGAGTAATTTATGGGCTAATTTTCATTTTTGGGTGAATTAACCCTTTAAAGTTACACACAGATTTTTCAGACTTTTGAACACATTTACCTCAAAATGATGAGACCTATCTACTCACACCTTGTAGCTATGAGAGAGAGGGACACAGGTATATTTCCTGATCATAAATTTATGGGTTTAGTTAAAATCAGTCTCAGCCAATGGACTAAAACACTTTCGGTAGTGACATGAAAAGTACGGGACACATTTTTTAAAATAAAGTTTCATAATTTACAAAGAAAATATAAAATAAATATATATTTTTTTGAACTTCACTTTTTAAAAGAATCAAAAAGATACTTTTAAAAACAAAAAAATACAAAAATTATTTCAATATCATTTTCATAAGTTGAAATTTAGGGGTTAGGGTTTGGGACAGCCAACTCCCAATTGAAAGTACCCAATAAATGATGATTTTATATATATTAAGCTTACTAATGTTTTAAATATTATTGTGGGTTTCAATAGATAATAAAAGGATCTTAATAAACATCTAAGATTTGAATACATAAATGCTTTTTAAATGTGTTTTTTGGTTGTGGGACAGCACTTTGCACCAATTCTGTAGAATGGCCCATATATATTTTTCCTTTGGTGCTATTATGCACAGCGGAATGAGCGGCATGTGCCCCACACTAACAGGTCTTTGCCTTTACTAAAAACACACACACAAAATAACACTTAATTCCAACATCTACCCTCCTTCTCCTGTTCTATGCAAAGCATGCCGGGAACTAGAAACACACTGCCCATGCAGTGTTCAAAGATATCAAGATAATTGTATTAAGTTACTACAACTTTTTTTTTCTTTAAATCAGTAAACAGAAATTTTAGTTTAAATTACATGCAATATTAATGTGACGTTAAAGATGATTTCTAATAAAAGCCAGCTTTCATATATTTCATATATAACTATGAAATATATATTATGAACTAAGAAACCTTGTTCTGCCAAATTCTCAAATGGCAGCATTATTTGGTTACTTGTGAAACAGACTTTGCATTAGGAGGAACATGTCTATAAATGTCAAAAAAAAAAAAGGTCTAGTTAGAGAGCTTACTATAGGCTTTGGAACACAACTTGAATCTCTTCTGATCCTCAGGGAATGTATCAGTACAGAAGTGTTCCCACTCTGCCCATTGGATCAGTATGTCCCCCCAACAGATGGCCTCCCTTCGCCTCTGTTGCATTTCCGGTGAGGAGTGACTATTAGATCCTAGACTCTCAACAGCTGCTGGTTGGGGAGGTGGGGGTGGGGAGGCCGCAGAGTTTTCTCATTACAGAGCATGAGACGCATAAACCTCTCTCTTTATAAAGATCATTTTAAACAGCTTTTTAATAGCATATTCAGCACTAACCCTTATATTTATTGGAACACTAGATTCCATACAAGAAGTCCACACCCAAACAGTCATGTAAGACATTTTATTCTGATCATCAACTATTGACAAATCTCAGTATCTCCAGTAACAACAGCCCAGAGATAAGTGCTATTGCTTTAAAGTTGCTCATGAAGTTCTGAAATGTTTAACTTTCAGTCGGATTTGTTTATATACTGTATAGCACTTTTCACAATAGCCTACACTTTGTTTTAACGTGACTGTTTCTGATATTTTTCCTATAATTCCTCAGGAGAAATAAAAACACAAATGAGGCACTCACTGACATTCAGTAAGTACTAGCATAGCCTAGCTCAAATAATCAGAACACTGAATTTGATTAGAGATTATTTGAGAATAGTGATATCTCTTTTTATAATAATGATAATTCTGAACACATGCAGCAAAAAAAGGAAAGCAACACTTTTAAAGAAACTGCTCTGGATAGAAGTATATCTACAAACAAGTATAACAAGTAATAAAGGAACTAAAATCAACATATTATTTGTGTTTATTGTAAAACCTTTGGCATATGATGCTAATTCAAATATTCCTCTTTTCTCAGCCATAAAGAGAGGACTTACCCTGTAGACTGTGTTTAACTGTTGCGAGGAAGCTGTGTGCATGAGTGCTGACAAGATGCAGAGAACACAGATCGATCCAAACAGCAGAGAGGCCATGATTCCCCTCTAAATGCCCAGGCAGTGTGTGTTGTTGTGTTCCCTGCTGTAGTCTTTCTCACATCTACTTCTCCCTTGGCTATTTTTTGTCTTTACTCAAGCCTATGTAGTCTGCACTGCTGTTCTCTTCTTCTCTCGCTTACGCCCTGCCCTGCCAAGCTGGACTTCCTCCCTCGATCACCCCCGGCCCCCCTCTTCCTCACGCACACATTTCCCTCACAAGATCTTGAATGGAAATCACATGCAGCTAAGAAAAAAATAAATTTAAAGAATCCAAACCGAGGAAGAAATATCAAAGCTCTTTGTGTTTCCTTGTGTAACTTGTTGTTACCCTAAATGTGAGTGTAATGACGGCAGATTGGCAGAGAGCGAGTAATTGACAGCTCTTTGCTCATTACACTACCCTTTGACCTTGGCTGTGGCCCTCCCCCTCCCTATGAATGTCTCTTAACCTTTCTAACCCACTGGAAACACCATCTCCTACAACACACACACACATTTAGGTGAAAGCGTCACAACATATCCATATGCTCATATGTTCGTTGTGTAGTCCAGTGGTTCTCAATTCCTATCAACTCACTTTTCTGCACATTTTGTATGTCTCTCTTATCTGACACTCTCCTAATGAGCTGATGTTCTGAATCAAGTAAGTTATATAAGAGAGAGACATACAAAAATGGAAAGCGGTGGGTCACCATGACAGGAATTGAGAACCGTTGGTGTAGTCACTCATGGAAAGTGGACCTTGCTTTATGCACTAAGGCAGTCATGCTAAAATAAAAAAGGAGCTTCCCCAAACTGTTCCTACAAAGCTGGAAGCATAGCATTGTCCAAAATGATTAAGATTTTCCTTCACTTGAAGTAAGGGGCCAAGCCCAATCCCTGAAAAACAGCCCCATACCATCATCCCTCCTTCACCAATCTTTACAGTTGGCAGAATGCAGTCAGGCAGGAAATATTCTCCTGGCATTCACTGAACCCAGACTCGCCCATCAGACTGCCAAACAGAGAAGTGTGATTCATCACTCCACAGAACAGGTTTCCACTGCTCCAGAGTCCAGTAACAGTGTGCTTTACTCAGCTCCATCTGATGCTTGGCATTGTTATTTTTGTGCTGATATAAATGCTAGGATCTCTTCAGCTCTGGAATCATCACCCGCTCTGTGACATTACAAGGTCTTCCGCTTCATGGCTGAATTGCTGCTGTCCCTAAAGTCAAGTCAAGTCACCTTTATTTATATAGCGCTTTTAACAATACAGATTACTGTACAGCATTAATTAGGAAAATAGTGTGTCAATAATGCAAAGTGACAATAGTAAACACTAATTTTTCAGTTAAAGGCAGTTCATCATTGAATTCGGTGATGTCATCATCCAGCTCAGTTCAGTTTAAATAGTCTCTGTGCAATCAAGTCGACAATATCGCTGGAAATGAAGTGTTCCCAACTAAGCAAGCCAGAGGCGACAGCCGCAAGGAACCAAAACTCCATCGGTGACAGAATGGAGAAAAAACCTTGTGAGAAACCAGGCTCAGTCGGGGGGCCAGTTCTCCTATGGCCAGACGAAACCAGCAGTTCAATTCCAGGCTGCAGCAAAGTCACATTATGCAGAGGACTCAACTGGCTCCTGTGGTCTTGTCCCGGTGGCCATCTGAGACAAGGTCTTTACTGGGGATCTGTATCTGGGGCTCATCTAGTTGTCCTGTTCTCTGCTGACTGAACACTTTTACTTTCCAAAAATACCACTTACAGTTGACCGTGGACTATTTAGCAGGGATGACATTTCACGAACTGACTTATTTCAAAGTTGACATCTTATCACAGTACCACAATTCAATTCACTGAGCTCATCAGAACTGGGGGTGTTTCTAGCCTTTCCTCATATACTGGGGCACAGGCCCCCCATCAAAAAAGTGTGCCCATATGTTGATACTGGTTTTTAATCCTGCTTTGGATATAAATGGATATAAATTGTCTTTTCAATAGGCAGAGGCTGAACCAAGTCCAGGGTTAGGCTAAAAGTAGCCTAATGTTAGTGCAATCTATTAACTACGCACATCATAAATCCATCTTTTTAGGCAAGTACCAGATATGGGTGTCATGCCACAAGATCTTTTTAATATGACTGAATTTGTATTTAACTTGATCACACTGTAATAAAAACACTGTAATTAAATTATAATGCTGTAATTTTTACTGTTATTTAAACAGCAAATCAATTACAAACAAAGCAGTCAAAGAACATTTACATTTTCAAAGAACATTACTGACTTCAGTCTAGTGCAAGTTTAAGCACTCTCGAAAAACTCGGCTGAAAACTCCCATTATAATCAGTGAAGCTGTCTACACTGTATGATGAATTAATCACTTACATCGTACGTACATCTGCAATTTGTTGTTAATGAGAGTGCAGAATTCTGTCAGCGAGCCTGTTCACTGAACAAAACTGGCGTTTCAGCAATGGCTAATCTAAATGCTTTTGATTGGCCATTGCATTTATAAGATCACCGGACTGCATGTGTTTGGTTATAATGCACGACAGTGTAAAAACATGTACAAAGAAATATGATGCAACATTAGCAGATCTAAACGTTATGCCGCAATCGGCACATCTCAATTCATTTTCATTTTATTCGCCACAGCTGAATAGATTTAAAGGGGTCATATGATGCTGCTAAAAAGAACATTATTTTGTGTATTTGGTGTAATGAAATGTGTTTATGCGGTTTAAAGTTAAAAAAACACATTATTTTCCGATATCGTCCTCTTTTGGAAGACCAAACAAAGTAGTTTCGCTTTCACAACGAAGCACACAGCATCTTCACGACATGGCTGCAGCGTCAACAAAACTACAGTGAGACTAAAAGTTAAGCCTTCTTTTTTTGCGTGAACATTTGGGTGGCGTTATGCAAATCTTCCCACATAGTGAGGTAGATATGTGGGGGCGTGTTAGAACGAGCCGTTTTAGGTAGGTGTGGCTGACTCTGAACTTTTATAAAGAATATCTCTTTGGATTTGAGACTTTAGTCTTTGCAACTTTACAGATCTTCTTTATGCACCAAGAGCTTGTAACACTCCAAACAGAAAGGAAAAATTCAAATCGCATCATATGACCCCTTTAATTTAATTGTTCAGGGGCATTTTTTGTCCCAAGCCCCTGTTAATTTCTGACCCGTGGCCACAGGAAGGCTAACCTTACCCAGCCTTATAAACACACTCTATCTATGGTCTTTACCTTCGGCATAGAGTCTTTCATAAAAAGCTGCACGCACAATAAAAAGCTGCTTCGTCGATGACAAATCATAGAAGACATTTGCAAGTTTTGTTTCCAACAGTGGGTTGTAGGTAAATATCATTCTCATCCTGCGATTTCAGACCACTCTCAAATGTCCACTTTTAGACACCTGTGCTTCCACAAGTGACATCACTTGCTTTTATTTATTTATTTAATTAATTTTTTTCTTAAATTGAATCTATCAACATTTTACGACAGTAACCAGGTTGTGAAGACAAGAAAAAACATACAAAATTACAATGTCACTTGCAATCAACACAAATAGTTCGTGTAGCCAATGGAGAAAAGATGCTGATACAGTCACCTGTCGGAGAAAAAGACAAGACCCACAAATCTTTGGCCACAGAACAGCAGAACATGAACGCAATGTGCAAAGTCTCTCGATGTCTTGCGATTTCTTTCCCAGCTGTTTACCTTCACAGACATAATCGACTTGTTTGTAACACTTGTGTTTTTAACATAAATTTCTGTGTATTTGACATTTTAAGCGCAGTAAGACATGAAAGAGAAGTTTAGTTCTCACATGCCGTGTGACAGACGCTTTCTGTGCGTGTGCTTTGGATGTGTGCGCAAAACCGTATATCAGAAGTTTACCCTAATATGGTTTAAAATGATTTCAGTACAATAGACATGATAATCAAAACCAGACAGATGTTTTTAGCATAGTATCTGAGGAGGTACGAGCTGTAAAGGCACATCCCTATTCTGGAAAAGGGGGCGGGGAGCAGTAACTCATTTGCATTTAAAGATGCATGCACGAAAACAGTGTGTTTCTGCTACCACTCAGAATAGGCATTTTCAAAATGATATAATATATGATCTGTGGGGTATTTTGAGCTGAAGCTTCACAGACACATTCTGGGGACACCTGGTGTTAAAAGTTGCATAATAGGTCTCCTTTAAGTGTTTCCTCCCATACCGCCACTTCAGTATGTTCAGTCTCTCTGACCAGTCATCTGACCTTCAGTTTTATTAGGGTATGCTGAAAATCATGTGGAGCAGTTATCCATTACTGAAAGGGCTCTGCTAAGTGAAATGCGTTTTTAAGAAGTAAGTAAAGGCAGTGACACAACCAGCAGGCAGTGACCATGTTTACCTTGTCCTGCTAGGAGATTAAAACGATAAATATTTTTCCAGCTAAACTTGTTACTATGATGCATTTCAGAATGTAAGCCAGTGGTTCTCAATTCCAGTCCTGGTGACCCACCACTCTGCATATGTTGTATGCATGTCTTGTCTTTGTCCCAGCCTGGAACTGAGATATAACTCTGGCACATGTTGTAGTTTGCACTGACGACATAATGCATCAGAAATTGAGTATTTATTATTTTACCTTACACTTAAAAAAATTTGCACAATGTAAATAAATAAAAATAAAAAACTGGCCAAAATGTTGGTTCTACACCAGCCCTAAAACCTTGCTTGTCTCAAACAAGGCACCTTATGCCATCGGTGAGCAGAACTTCCACAGCTCCCAAGTCAGTGGAAAAACAAGCTAGTTCTGAGTGAGTACCGCCCAACTCTGGATCCAGCACCAGCCCCAGTGGAGAAGAGGTAACAGTTAAGTTAATGGAGTTCTCTCTTAATGAGCTGATAATGTCAGTGCCTCACCTGAATGTAGTCAGGTGTGTTACATAAGAGAGACATAGCCTACAAAACGTGCAGAGCGATGGGTCGCCAGGACCGGAATTGAAAACCACTGATGCCACATCAGATGACATGTAAACAGACTGGGAGGTTTATTGGTATGCAGTTTGACTAGTAACTGAATTGTTGTAGGCTAAGTGAGCAATCACCATTTTGACTTTGATCTAAACGCATAAGCTTACTACAGGACTATTAAAACCCTCTAAGCCCCAAAGTCGCAAAATTGCGACAAGACGTCATACTTAATAAAATAGACTGTAGTTCCTAATATGGT